TCCCGAAATTCAGTTCCTGGTATTTCCTGGGCTCTGTGGATTCCTTTTGTAGGGACAAGGATTCAGAAGGGAGAAACAACCCTTCTGTAATCCTGGAAGTGCCCCCAGGAGTGCAGCCAGGCAGGGGAGGAGGCCAAGGCAGTGGCAGATGTCCCAAATCTTGCTTGGATGTCCCAAATTCCACTCAGATGTCCCAAATCCCACTCAGATGTCCCAAATCCCACTCAGATATCCCAAATCCCATTCCTGACCTGGCTGGCTGCCTTGGGGTATTTCCTGTTCTCTGTGAATTCCTTTTGTAGGGGCAAGGATTCAGCAAGGAGAAATAACCCCTCTGTTATCATGGAAGTGCCCCCAGGAGTGCAGCCAGGCAGGGGAGGAACCCAAGGCAGTGGCAGATGTCCCAAACCCTGCTTGGATGTCCCAAATTCTGCTCACATGTCCCAAATCCTCCTTGGATGTCCCAAATCCCACTCAGATGTCCCAAATTCTGCTTGGATGTCCCAAATCCTCCTTGGATGTCCCAGATTCTGCTTGGATGTCCCAAATCCCACTCAGATGTCCCAAGTCCCATTCCTGGCCCGGTTGGCTGCCTTGGGGTATTTCCTGGGCTCTGTGAATTCCTTTTGTAGGCACAAGGATTCATCAAGGAGAAATAACCCCTCTGTAATCATGGAAGTGTCCCCAGGACTGCAGCCAGGCAGGGGAGGAACCCAAGGCAGTGGCAGATGTCCCAAATTCTGCCTGGATGTCCCAAATCCCACTCAGATGTCCCAAATCCTCCTTGGATGTCCCAGATTCTGCTTGGATGTCCCAAATCCCGTTCCTGGCCTGGCTGGCAGCCTTGGGGTATTTCCTGTTCTCTGTGAATTCCTTTTGTAGGGGCAAGGATTCAGCAGGGTGAAACAACCCCACAGGAGCAGCTGGAGCAGCTCTGTAATCATGGAAGTGCCCCCAGGACTGCAGCCAGGCAGGGGAGGAGGCCAAGGCAGTGGCAGATGTCCCAAACCCTGCTTGGATGTCCCAAATTCTGCTCGGATGTCCCAAATCCCACTCAGATGTCCCAAATCCCATTCCTGGCCTGGCTGGCTGCCTTGGGGTATTTCCTGGGCTCTGTGAATTCCTTTTGTAGGGGCAAGGATTCAGCAAGGAGAAGTAACCCCTCTGTTATCATGGAAGTGCCCCCAGGAGTGCAGCCAGGCAGGGGAGAAATTCAAAACAGTGGCAGATGTCCCAAGTTCTGCTTGAATGTCCCAAATTCTGCTTGGATGTCCCAAATCCTCCTTGGATGTCCCAAATTCTGCTTGGATGTCCCAAATCCCACTCGGATGTCCCAAATCCCACTCAGATGTCCCAAATTCTGCTCGGATGTCCCAAATTCTGCTCAGATGTCCCAAATCCTGTTTGGATGTCCCAAATCCCACTCAGATGTCCCAAATCCCGTTCTGATGTCCCAAATCCCACCCAGATGTCCCAAATCCCTCTCTGGGCTCTCATTCCCACCTGTCCCTCTCCCCTGCAGGTGCAGACCAGGAACATCCGCTGCCTGCCAGACGTGCTGGTCATTAACTGTGAGGTGAACAGCTCCAAGGAGGCAGATTTCTGGAAGACACAGGCTGAGGTGGGGGAGACTCTCCCGGCACGCTGGGGTCGAGGTTTTCACTCTGCTCTCGCTGCCTCTCTGGCCTCTCTCCCTCCACCTGAGGACCCGGTGCAGGTTGGGTCATGCCTGGGGCGTGGTTTGTACCTTTGGAATCGGAAAAGATGAGATCTCCTGGCGTGGCAGAGCTGAAGGGACTGCAGGAGTGACTTTGTCCTTCCCCCAGTCCCCTGAGAGCACCTTGGGATGTTTGGTTTCCTTTGTTTTTTGTTTTTTTTCCCTGTCACCAATATTTAATATTTTCCCTGCTCCTGGCCTGGCTGTCACCCAAGTGTCCCCAAGGTTGGCCTGTCACCGTGTGCTGATGCTTGCCTGTGTTTCGTTGCCAGTATTCCTTTCAGAAAGCCATGATGAAGAGAGGAGGCTTTGACATCACCAAGGGAAAGGAGATCTCTCTTGGAGACTGGTAGGTGACCATTCAGGAGGAATTTCTTCATGGAAAGAGTTTGGAAACACCAGGGAGGTGGTGAAGTCACCATTCCTCCTGTTGGTGGCCAAGGAATGATGGTTGTGGGTGACAAAGTGGGGATTGGCCAGAGGTTGGATTTGATGGCCTTGGGAAGCTTTTCCAACCTCAAGGATTCTGGGATTTTGTTCCTGAGGTGGCACCTCTGAGCAGTGACACCTCCTGGGTGATTCTGTTTCTCATGTAAATAATGTGAATTTGGTAAACCTGCACCACATCCCCTTTGTCACCCATCTCGTGCCCCTTTTCTAAGTGACAAAAGCCCCAAAACCACATTGGCTGAGCACCTCACTCAGAGTCCTGCTCCAAGCACCTCCGGCTTGCCACAGAAATTGCAGAAAAATCAGAAAATCACAGAAAATCAGCTGGCCCGGGTGACATCTCCCTGCAGCTCAGCTTTCCATGATTCCCCGTGCAGGAAGGATCTGGGGAACCCCGACACGGGGCATTCGTATCCTTCCGTGGAGGAACTGAAGAACATTTGGATCCCTCACGCCATCAAGATGAGGTTGACCAAGAGCAAAGAGCTCGATGTGAGCAACTGGAGCGAGACTGATGAGGTAAAGTGACAAAATAACTGTGGGTGAGGTGACAGAACCACCACAGGTGAAGTCACAGAATCAGGGATGAATCCTGTGGGTGAAGTGACAGAGGCACGTGGGAGCAGAGCTGCCTCAGAACCACTTTGTGCTGAGAGATGATGAGGAGATAACTCAGAGGAGCACCAAAAATGGTGGTTTGGGGGGGCTCAGACATTTTCCTAATTCCTCCCTCAGCTGAGCCCAACAGACGACCCCGAGTCCGTGTACATCTACGACCTCATGGCCACCGTTGTCCACATCCTGGATTCCCGCACTGGGGGCAGCCTGGTGGGGCACATCAAGGTGGGAGAGACCTACCACCAACGCAAGGAGGTGAGACCCTGAGACCCCACCAGCCCCCTCTGAGGGGGATCTGTCATTGCTGGCTCTCTCAGCCAAGCGTGGAGGGTTTGGGCTGAACGTGCCAAGAGCTGTGGGGCCCCTCAGGGGGAAGGAAGGGTTGAAGAAATCTCCTTCCCACACCCACTCAAGCTGGTTCCTCCTGGCCACGGGCACGGTGCCAGCTTGTCCTTGTACTTCCAGGTAAGGGCAGGGACGTCATCAGCCTTCCCGAGGAAAGGGCTGGTCTGGGCAGTCCTGGTTTCTGCTGGAGATGCCCAAGGCAGGAGTTCCCAGAGTTGTGTCAAGCCTCCATCCCTGTCTCTTATCTCTTGCATCTCCCTGGAGTTTTGCTCAGGAGCTGGGCAGAGCCCAGAGCCCGTCCAGCCCAATCCTTTCTGGTCCTTTGTCAGCAGCCAGGGCAGCAGGGATTTCCCCACGGTGTCCCAGGAAGGGCGGGGGTTCCCACATGGGCACAGTCACACCCTCCTTTCCCTGGTAAGCGGGCAGAGCAGTCACTGCTGGTGCTTTTCCCCCTCTCTCAGGGAGTCACACACCAGCAGTGGTACCTCTTCAACGACTTCCTCATCGAGCCCGTGGACAAGGTGAGCCCCGAGGTGACAACACCTCCTGGAGCCCCCGGGGCTGTCGCTGAGCGTCCCCTCTCCCCTGCAGTGCGAAGCTGTGCAGTTTGACATGAGCTGGAAGGTTCCAGCCATCCTCTACTACGCCAGGAGGAACCTCAACTCCAAGTACAACCTCGTCAGTGAGTGCCTCCCCTCCCGGGGTGGAAGTGGCGGCGGTGGTGGCACCGCTGAGCTCCTTCCCCTTTCCCTGCACAGTCAAGAACCCCATCGAGGCCAGCGTGCTCCTGGCTGAGGCGTCGCTGGCCCGCAAGCAGCGCAAGTGCCACGCCACCTTCATCCCCCTGATGCTCAACGAGATGCCCCAAGCTGGAGACCTGGTGGGCTTGGACGCCGAGTTCGTCACACTGAACGAGGTGGGGGACAAAGGGACAGGGGGGACGGGGTTCTTCTCACCTCCCCGTGTCCCCTGTCACCCTCTTGGTCACCACGTGTCGCGTCCTTGGTGGCAGGAGGAGGCCGAGCTGCGCAGTGATGGCACCAAGTCCACCATCAAGCCCAGCCAGATGTCGGTGGCCCGGATCACCTGCGTGCGTGGGCAGGGTCCCAACGAGGGTGTGCCCTTCATCGATGACTACATCTCCACCCAGGAACAGGTATGGGGGTCCACCTGGGCTCACACAGCTCCCCAGGCCACCAGGAGGGACATGGGCCTGCTCTGCAGGTGACAGTGACCTCATCTGGGCTCCTGTGTGTTCTCTGTGGTGACCTCACTTGGACACCTCTGTGTTCTCCATGGTGATGTCACTTGGACAACTCTGGGTTCCCCATGATGACCTCACTTGGGCTTCTGTGCGTTCTCCATGGTGATCTCACCTGGGCACCTGTGTATTCTCTGTAGTGACCTTACTCTGGGTTCTCCATGGTGTCCTCACCTGGGCTCCTGGGTGTTCTCCATGGTGACCTCACTTGGACAACTCTGGGTTCTCCATGGTGACCTCACCTGGACACCTGTGTGCTCCCCATGAACTCCTCTGTCCTCTATGGTGACCACATCTGGACACCCGTGTGCTCTCTATGGACACCTGGCTGCTCTCCAGGCACCCCTTTGTCCCCTTTGGTGACCTTACCTGCCCTCCTGTGTTCTCCATGGTGACCTCACTTGGACTCTCACTCATCTGAGTGCTGACCATGGACACCTGGGTGTTCCCCATGTCCTCTGTGGTGACCTCACCTGCACTCCCATGTCCTCCATGATCACCTGGGCCTGTTGTCCCACACCACCAACCCCCTCCCCAGGCTGCTGAGAGGGGAATTGAGGAGGGGGCAAAGCCCCTGGTCCCTGCAGCCCCTCCAGGTGCCCTGATCTCTCTCTCCACAGGTGGTGGATTACCTGACCCAATACTCGGGGATCAAGCCAGGAGATTTGGATGCCAAGATCTCCTCCAAGCACCTGACCACGCTCAAATCCACCTACCTGAAGCTGCGTTTCCTCATCGACGTGGGCGTCAAGTTCGTGGGCCACGGGCTGCAGAAGGATTTCCGTGTCATCAACCTGATGGTGACAACCTGGCCATGGTGGGGGGCTGGGGTGGGGCTGGGAGGGGTCCCTGACCTGCAGCAGGACCCGGTCCCCTCCCCTGGGGAATCTGCAGGCAACCCCGACAAGGGAAGAGATGAGAATCTGGTTTCAGAAAGGCAGATTTATTATTTTATTTTATATATATATTATATTATATTATATTAAATTTATATATAATAGATATTATGTTAAATATATATTATATCTATTTAATATAGATTATAGTATTATATAATATATAATATATAATATATAATATATAATATATAATATATAATATATAATATGTAATATATAATATATAATATATTATTATACTATAAGTAATATATATAATTATTTATATATTATATATTTACACATTTATATATTACTTATATATTTACTTATATGTTTATATATTTACATATAATATATACTATATTAAATATATAGTATATCTTTTTATTATATATATTTAATGTAATGTATAATATATATTCTATAATATATTAACTGTAAAATGTATAATAGAATATATTATATATATAATGTATATTATATTAAAACTATACTAAAAGAATAGAAGAGATGAGAAAGAGACAAGAATCTTGACTCCATGTTTCAGAAAGGCTGATTTATTGTTTTATGATATATATAATATAAATATATATATAATAAATACAAATAATATAATATAATACAATATAATATAATATATATTAAAACCAAAAGAATAGAAGATATGAGAAAGAAGAGATGAGAATCTTGACTCCATGTTTCAGAAAGGCTGATTTATTA